CGTGGCTACAGCTTCCCCTATACGGTTTGGGTTTTATTTGTTTTTCAAGACAAGACTTCTCCATGTAACAGTCTCAGCTGTCCTGGAACTCACTTTTGTAGACCAGGCTGAAGAACTTTATACTGAAATATTTGGGGATTTTCTTTCTTTTTCCTCCAATTGATATCAGAGGACAGCCTAGAGTGGTTTGTCCTTCCCCTGTGTTTTGGTCAGATGGAGTCTGCTTGTGCTGCTGTGTCTCCCTGACCTCCTGTGCTATGAGCTGCCAGAGATGCTTTTGCATCCACATCCCATCTCGCAGTAAGAGCACTGGGAATACAGACCGCCCAACCACACCCAGTTTCATTGTGCTTCCCGGAGATTCCCTCTCAGTCACCGCTATTGCATCTATGGAGCTGTCTCCGGGGCCCTACTGCAAAAGAGGATCTGCAAAAGTGCTGAAAACATAATCTCATGCATCTGAAGTTCTCCTAACTTTGTGTCTCTCCTTTATGTGACAAGATTATCCGAGAGGCCGGCTTTCAGAGAAGAGTAGTGCAACACAACCCATTCCTTATGGAGATGATTTCAGTAGATACCTGTGATTCTTCAAATCTCTACAGAATCCTCAAAAAGCCAGGGTCTAACTTCCAACAAGTGTTCAGAGAACTGACCTGGCTTAAGCTAAACACCAGTTTTACAAGACAGTCAGGGTGGCAGGACACACAAACACAGCACTCACTACACGAGGTTCTGTTACCACAGCTGAGTAAGTGGATCCATGGGCAAAGCCTGAGGACATGGACAAGGGGACATAGCATTCTCTGTGGAGCTCAGTGCTCCAGACTCAGACACCTGTCCACCAGCACTGCCTCACCTTACCTGTGAGCTCTAGTCTCACTCTGGTATGGCTGACCCAGATGCAATGGGAACCATGTCTACACAAGTCTTTTCCAAGTCAGGAACCTGTGGTGACTAACCTGGCCTTGTCAGTGTTACACTTTCCACAGGCTGAGTGACTGATGCCAATGTGCCCCAGACTAACTCATCAGAGGCTTCCTCTAGGCCACACACTGGCAGTGGTTTGGCAAGTCTGATTCCCATAGAAGAGGCTTCAGCCTTCTTGAATAACCATGATGCAATAGGGCTCAAGTCCTCACAAGGATGGTCTGCATCAGCAACAACTGGCCCATTTGGACCAGAGCCCCCCCCCCCTTGTTAATTTCTTTAGATGGTGTTGTAGAAGTTTTTTCATGTCTTGCCAGAAGGCAGCATTCTGCATCACTTCCTCTTCTTTTTTCTTCTACAGAAAGAGGAAAGGGCTCTAGGCTAATAATTCACAATTCAGAAGAAAAAGCCTTGTCAGCATGGAGATGCCTAAAGCACCTGGTTTAACTTCCCAGCTCAGAATGCATATTCCCTGGATACCCCTGGAGTCATGGAGCACAGTTACTATGTAGCTATCTTTAGTATCTGCTAAGTCTTAATCTTCTTAGGATGCTCTCTCTCTCTCTCTCTCTCTGTATCTCTCTCTCTCTCTCTCTCTCTCTCTCTCTCTCTCTGTGTGTGTGTGTGTGTGTGTGTGTGTGTGATGTATGGGTGCACACGCATATGTGTGCAAGTGAGTGTGGAGCTTAGTCATTGATTGTTTTTGTGTTGCTCTTCAAGTGTGGTTCACTTTATTTATTTATTTTGAGAAAGGGTCTTTCATTGGTCTGGACACTTAGCCATTTGGCCAGACTGGCTGGCCAGTGAGGTCCAGGGATTGATGCCTTCCCAGTGTTGAGGTTACAAGAATCTACCACCCTGTGAGGATTTTTATTCATTATTATTATTACAATAATCATTATTAATTCTGGGTCCTTGGGTTAGGCTCAGGCTGTCATGCTTGCCTAGCAAACAATGTATGGACTGAGAATCTACGGCCTTTATTTTAGTCTTTGCTGTAATCTTGGTGCCCCTTCATTGTCTGTCCTCCATAATCCATCATCCACAATTCTGTTCTGTAGCTCTGCTGATATGTATGTTCTGTTTCCCAAGCAAGGCTGAACAGTTGAACCAGCTCTACTGTTATAACCATCTGTTTTGGTGGGCTGTGGTGAATTCCAATCAGAAATAAAGCCTCCAATTTTGCTGAAGGTCACTTGAATTCAGTGACAGGTAAAGACTACAAAATGTCAAGTGATAAACTCCTTCTTTCAGTGCTTTAGAAATGTTTGGATCAGAGTAGCTCAGTCTTCTGCAGACCATCAACACCAGCATATGGAACAGCCCAGCAGACAGACACACAGCAGTGTTTGTGTGACTCCAGTATACATTCCATCCCAACACCGGAGCACTGCAGAGCCCTTGGCTTTTCTCTGGAAGGTGAAACAACTATTCTCAACAATATCCAAACCACAGCACTGGGAAGATCAATGACTAACACAACTTTAGTAATAACGACACACAATCCAAACTTCTCCTTCCTGCCTGTGAACATATTCTGGTGAGAATGTTCACCATGGGCATGTTATTGATATAGATGTGGCAGAAAGGTCACAGCTGTCTGTCCTCCAGTCATCCCTGGACACATAGGCTAAATCTGTGAGAAACATCCATGTCACCATTGGAGGATGACTGTTTTGAGTTACTGGCCTGAGTGTCCCCAATGAACTAGTCTGTTAAAATCATGGACTCCATTGGTGCAGGCCAGCACAGGCTGTGCAGCTGACACACAATCCTCCTGTCTCTGTCATCTCCACACCGACCTTGTCTGTCAGGTGTTGTTCATACTCCCTGGTGTTCCTCTTTAGAAGGTGACATTTCAGGCTCTTGACTTGGAAAAATGACTTTTCAGTCTGAGATACAGCACTGAAATGGCAAATGTGAACAGTTCTAATGTCAGAAAAGAGAGAAAGAAGACAGGTCGGGAGAGGCAGCCTGTCTCATGTGCATTGAAACCTGCCACACTACCCATCTGTACTGCTCTGCGGAGGCAGCATTGGTTTCTTTCTTCTGCTCAGTGCTTGTGATCTGAGGCTTCTGTCTGTGTAGCTCTGTGCTGTCTGGAGATTTAGGTTGGCCACAGATGGTGAAGACCCACACTGGGATGTTTGTTCTTGTCCCAGTATAGACAGTTGTGTATTTGCAGATCTTTAGCATTCTCTCAGTAGAAAGTGTAAGGAAAAGGGACCAGAGTGACTAAAATGTACAGAAAACCTGTGAATGTCCAAATAAAGCCCTGAGAAGATGTGACCCTGGCATGCAAGGTTTCCAGAGATGCCTGAGAAGAGGCATGCCTCAAAAGCCTCTATCTCCTTCCATCCCCAAGCCTTGAGAGAGAACACCCACACTCTTCTGTCACAGACACATTCAGCAAATACTAGTGATTAAGAAGTGTAGCCAAGCTGACTTGGTGCATGCTTGTCATACAATCTCTGTGGGGTCACAGGTACATCTGCCATGTTGTGTTTTGAAAACATAGTTTTCTTGAAGCTAACTACCACCTCTGGCTTGTCCAACCTTTCTGCCTTCTATTCTACACAGATTCATGAGTCTTGAGGATATATAATAGACATCCCATTTAAGGTGAATATTCCAACGTCTCTCATTCTCTGCTCATTGACCAGTGTGGGTTTCTGTGTTAATTGTCACCTACTGCAAGAAGAAGTTTTTGTGGTGAAGTTTAAGTGATGTACTGATCTACGGTTATAGCAATATGTTGTTAGGAGTCATTTTACTGCTGTCTTATTTAGCAAAATAAAATAGTAGTAGGTTTTCCACTAGGATCTGTGACCTATTTAGCTTCAAAATCCTAGCCTCACTGACAGTATTAGCTATGGGTTCCATATTTTATGTTTACAACCAATTTTTAAAAAGTAGTTGGTTACTCCCATAACATTTTGTGCCTTGTAACAGTGGGCTTATCTTGCCAGAAAGGTCATTATTGTGACTGGCAGGGTTCATGCTGTGGCAAGACCAAGAACTATGTTTCTCCTCTGGTAGTGTGTAGAGCACTTCCAACACTAAGAATGTATTGAGTAGGAAGCTTCCAGTTAAGTACCATCTAGATATTCCCCAGGTTCTACCCCATAAGTATGTGGTATCTTCAGCAATAGGCTGATCAAGTTTTGGAGAGTAACCAGTAGCATTGGCAATAGCTTGTAATGTCAGAGAGGGGCTGTCTATGGGGCCTACTGGCCAACAACTCAAAAATAGGTAACCCATTCCTGGCACTGGGGGTTTTATTTGGTAACATGTTAAGAGAGATCTCTCAGCCATCTCAAACCAAAAAGACTACAGAACTCCAAGTTCTTCCCTACTCCTTCCTGTGCTTCTTTCTATCCATCTTCCTGGCTTCTCTGTAATCTCTATGGTTAATTCCTGTCAACTAGTTGCTGGCTCCGCCCCGATCCAAGGTTTATTTTTAGTAACACAGCTTCAGGTTTCACAGTGCAATGAAAAATCCTGCAACATTTCCTCTTTTTTTTGTCTAAATAAAATGGAAAGCTTTTACCTTTAACACAATAAAACTATATAAAATAAGAACAATATCAGATAAGAATTGCATTGATAGCTGGGCGTTGGTGGCGCACACCTTTAATCCCAGCACTCTGGAAGCAGAGGCAGGCAGATCTCTGTGAGTTCGAGGCCAGACTGGTCTCCAGAGCGAGTGCCAGGACAGGCTCCAAAGCTACACAGAGAAACCCTGTCTCAAAAAAACCAAAAAATTACATTCACATTGTCCAGTTCATTTGTTTTTGGCAAATTCAGAGAAAATACTCTATCATCTATCCTATCTTGGTGAGTCCAAAGTTTTAAAATATCTATCATAACTTGTATCACCAGTCAAAAATATCCTTTTAGACCTTAAGACATTTTCTTAGATAAACAACTTAAGCTTTTATGCCCCTAAACCTTTATAAACTTTACTTGTCTTTTTTGAGTTTCTGTTTTGAATTTGGCAACAAAGAAAATAATAAAACTATAACTATCTAGCCTTTAACCCCATCAGAGATCTTAGGATTATAAAATGTTACCTGAGTAAACAGGAAATACAGAGCCAGCCACTTCCAAAGCAATAGAAATGACAGAGTTATCTGACTGTCTGGATGATTACCAAAGTGTCCTCTGCAATGTTGGAGTATCCATCTTCAGCCTACAGGCCTAGAATACCTGACAGACTTTTCTGTGAAGCGGGAATTTTGAAGGACTGGCCCATCTTGTCTTGGCAAAGTTTGGAAGTCAACTTCCTTTGTGTCCAACTCACCAAATTTGGACAGCATATTGTCAGCAGTTGTGTCAAGGGCATTTTCTTGTCCAGTGGCTTCCTTGGTACATTGAATGCAAACTCTATATGGAGGTTCTTCAGTGCCCATCATCTTCTCTGAAGTAGATTGGTTCTGCCAGGAGAACCAATTGCTCATTGTCATGAAAAACATTATGTTATTAAATCATTTAAATTCCTTATTCTGTAAATCTCTGAAGTATTTGATGACCACCTATCTATCAAAACTATATATGTTTAGCCTTGAAAACATACCTAACATGACTACAAGTTTGATTGTTATAGATGACTACTAACCTGCATTTCTTAGTTATCCTAAATAGTTTGTAATAATATCTTTCAAATACCAGAAATTTACATTACATTTTAAATGAGCTGAATAGGTATAATGCCTTAAACAAGGGGAGAAACATATATACAGTATGTTATAACAAGCAAAACCTTAAACTTATATCAATATACAAAAATCCATACCAATGTAAAATAATTGAGACTAATAGTTGCTTTTTAGTAGATTCATTAATCTCACCTTTTATCCTATCATTCCTATATGCCCATTCTGTTTATTTTCATTCCTCAGCCCCATTTTTAACACTAGGTAGAAGATAAAAAAGAATAGAGAAAGAAAAAAAAAACCCAGAAATCCCTTAATCCAGCCTCCTTTGTTTAGTTTCCTCCATGACCACAACCAAAAATAACTTGCAACTTACCTACCCCCATAAACAATGAAAAACATCCATAACTCACTAAATGACCAAAAACCGCCTACCCCACCTCTTGGGAATGTAGGCATCATGTTCTTAAAATTACTTCCTATTATCTGGGGGTGATGGCATCTTTAGGGGACCCTGAGAAAACTGGAATAAAGATCAAGTTCTGCAAGAGCTAGCTGTATCATTTGTTGTCCAGTCTCTGTGTGATTGGAATGGGCAGAGAGTATATGAAGTCTTGGCTGGAGTAGTCTGTGAAGCTGGACCATCTCAGCAAGCAGCTTTGAAGTTGTCCTGAGCAGTTTGCCATCTGAAACTGATCTTTGGGTCGAGTTTGTCAGTTCAACGGCATTACCACTGTCTAGGTGGATCTGTCATTGCAGGGTCCCATCATTTTTTTGGAGACCTCAAAGGTCACTGTTAGGAATGGTCATGGTTCATTGAAAGAAAACTTAAACATTTTAAATGCCATGTACAGCAGATCTCCAGAAGGTTAGAGGACCACACTCTATTAAGTACCTCTTGGTTACACAAACTTAGTTCCTAATCACCTGCTTCAGAACTCAAACCTGAAAGCATGCACAGGAAGCTAGATGGAGTTTGTTTCTAAAGTTAGTTATAGCTCTGTATGACTGCTAATATCCTGACAGAAAGTTTAAATATATTTAACGATCTTACAGATTTTGAGATAATACTTATATCTTAAGAAATGTTTTAAAAAGTCAAAACCAAAGATAATTGGATTAACAGCAATAGAATAGTTCTTTAGTTTTGGTTTTCTTCTGTCCCATACCAGGTGGCTCTTCTGACACAAAACAGAGATTTTGGATTTTCCTTCAACAAGCATGCTTGGGTTTAGAGGAGGAGAGAGACATCCTCTAACTCCAAAGTCAGCTTTGATTTTTCAATCGAATTGGGACTGAAAAAAAAAAGACCATTTGCCTCTTGCTTTTGCAAAGAGCAGAAAAAAAACAGCATTTGGGCAGATTTATGAAGTTCTCCTCAGTTGGAGGTGGACTAAACCAGTAAGCCAATTTGCTCTTTGTCGTGGGACTTTTTCTCTTGATGATTTGTCCTTCTTCAGATGTCTCCATAGCCTTAGTTGGATGCCTTTTATTCTCCTAAGAAGACAAAAACAAAACCCTGCCCCAACCCTAACTTTGGGGACTTCCTTTTTTGGCATGTTTTATCTTTGCTAAGGCAAAATGGCTTTTTGGCAACAGAAAACGTATTATTTTTTAGATTTTTTTGTGTTTACATAATATCTTGTGGTATTTTTAGACATTTTTAAAAAAAAATTCATACCTGATCAAATGAAAGGCATTTGTTAGTCTTAATAAGTTACTTTTAATTGAATGACCAAGCTGTGAAGGCAAGGGTTAATTAATTCACTAGACCCAAGATAAATGATAAATGGGTCTTTATTGGGGGAAAAATTTACACAGAACAATAAGGTACCATCACAGCATTTTTCTGCCCTTCCAATCGAATCTGTAACCCAAGATTAAAGAGACTGTGTGTGTGTGTGTGTGTGTGTGTGTGTGAGAGAGAGAGAGAGAGAGAGAGAGAGAGAGAGAGAGAGAGAGAGAGAGAGAGAGGTTCTTTCTTTCCCTGAAGCCATGCCCAAAGGAGTGTGGCCACTTTTACAGGTTCACAGGCAAGACTACAAAACTGTTTGATGAACTGTCACCTCTCCTAATAACCAGGTCTCTCCTGTTCTAATCTAATCTTTATCAATCTTGATGGTATTCATAGCTTTTCTTCTCTTGTGGAAACAAAAGCAAAACACCTTCCCTAATGCAACACATATTCTGACTTCCATTCTGAAATCAACATGTCTTTAAAATACATGGGCTGATTTAATTAGCAGTTTTTTCTACTATCCAATATCTCTCTGAAGCTGTAGTTCCTTGGTCATTAGCACTTAAATATTTGAAGTTAATAAAGCATCGTGTAATCTAGCTATGGGGGTTTATATTACCCCTTTCTATTTATTAAACATATCTTTTAAAGTGTGATTAGATCTTTCTGTAACTTACTATAACTGCTATTGTGTGGGGATCAGGGTTCACTAGACTCAATATAGGTTAAGTGGGGAGAATGGACTTACACAAGAAGCTGGTGACCACAACAGGTTCCAGCTCCAAGGATCCACCCAGGCTGCTCTCTGTGACCTGACCAGAAGCAAGAGAGAGACCCCTGGGTTTGGGGACCCCAGATCTAGTCCTGCCTTCTGTCACTTTCACACCTGTGACCACACCCGAAAGGGCATGGTCAGTGCTAAAGGTGTGAGTGGTGTGGATATCTTACTACAAACTGCTTGTGCTGTAGGATTGTGTGGTATACCTGTAATATGCTTTATGGTGTAATATGCAAAAATGCATATTTTTTCGTTTTACTAGAGACATATGCTGGAGCACTGTCATTTTTAGTTCGTATAGGTATTCTCATCATGGCCATGATTTCTAATAAATGTGTAATTACAGAATGAGCCTTTTCAGAACTTAATGCAGTTGCCTATTGAAATCCTGAATATGTATCTATGGCATGGTACACATACTTTAGTTTCCCAAACTCAGCAAAATGAAACACATCCATTTGTCAAATTCTATTTCTTTGGATAAATACCCTTTGGGTTACTTCCTGAAGGTAATGGAATTTGTTTATACAAAGAACAAGTAAGACATTTCCTTATAATTTTCTTGGCTTATTACCTAGTGATGGAAAAATCTTTCTTCAAACTTTTGCTATTAACATGATCTTATAAAACTCTGAGACTTTTTAGAACATTTCCTATTATATTTGGTCAATTTCATCATTACCTTGTGCCAGAGATCCTGGAAAATCTAATAATACCATGAAAATAACAGATTCTGATTTTTGAATTGAATCATAAGGGCTTTGAGCCATTTTGCTTATTTTTCCTGACTTATAGCCTGTCTTTCCTGATTTATTTGCATCAGTATAGAGTGTAGGGGCTCCAGAATTTGGTGTTCCCTTTATTATATGAGAGAGAATCCAATTAGCTCTTTTTAAAAATTGAAATCTCTTGCTTTTGGGATATTTGTTGCTAATCTCTCTGTCACAATTACTGCAAGCTCTTTGCCAGTATTCGCTGCCATATGAGGCAATTTCAGCATTAGCAAAAAGTAGTACAATGTCTTCTCGGTCTATTCCTGCTAATTGGTGAAGTCTCAATTTTCCCTTCAGAGTCAATTGAGAAACAATTTCTATGCTGGGTGGTGGTGGTGCACTCCTTTAATCCCAGCACTCGGGAGGCAGAGGCAGGCAGATCTCTGTGTGTTCGAGGCCAGCTTGGTCTAAGAGAGCTAGTTCAATGACAGCCTCTAAAGCCACAGAGGACCCTGTCTTGAAAAACCAAAAAAAAAAAAAAAAAAAAAAGAAAGAAAAGAAAAAAAGAAAAAGGAAACCATTTCTATATAGGTCTTTAATTATTTTTTACTGTGTGTGCTAAAAATATACATTCTAAGATATTATCTCTCTGCATGAGAATTCCTGTGGGAGACTGAGAAGAAGGCAAAATAACTAAAATACAATCAATATTTGGATCCAAGCATTCCATCTGTGCATCCTCTAATTTCCTTTCTATCAGAGTCAATTATTTCTTAGCTTCAGCTGATAATTTTCTTGGACTATTTAAGTCCTTATTCTGTAAGATTTGAAATAAATTGCTTTAGGCCTCGAGTAATTAATTCAATTGTGGGCTGTAGTCAGTTAATATCTCAGAATTTTTTGAAAATCATTAAAAATTTGTAATTGATCTCTTCTGATTTGTACTTTCTGTGATTGAATTTTTTGTAAACCTATCTTATATCCTAAATAATTAATAGAATTTTCTCCAGCAATTCCATGTCTAGGAATTTATATATAGTACAGACTTAAAATGCTTTTCCCATTGAGGGACTTTCTGTACCAGAAAAATCAAAGTCTTTTTTTTTCAGATTTTTTTATTTGAATCAGAAACAAGATTGTTTTACAAACTCCCTCCTGCATCTTCCCGAGCTCTCAATTTGCTCAGGGGATCTTGACCCTTTCTCCTTCTCCAGGGGACCATGTATGTCTCTTTAAGGATCCTCCTTGTTTATTAGCTTCTGGCAGTGTGGAATGTAGGCTGGTAATCCTTTACTCTATGTCTAAAATCCATATATGAGTGAGTAAATATCATGTTTGTCTTTTTGTGATTGGGTTACCTCACTCAGAATAAAATCTTAACCAAAACAAACAGAAACTTCCCAAATAGGCAGAGATATGTCAGTATTGGACAGGTTAAACTATGGTATGTTGATTATATCCAGCAAAATGTTCTGAGGCTTTTGAAACTAGAATAGATATAAGTATTATGTGCATATATTGAAGAAATGTTGTATAAAATGTAATATATTGCTTTTGGACAGATAAAGGTTACACATGTGTGATATAAATACTTATGAACAATATACAAAATTGACGATTGTTGACAGCATCTTAAGGAACACACAGATGTCTGTAGCAGGCTGGGGCGGGGGTTGAATTTTTCTCCCTGTCTTGAGTGTTCAGAGTTACTTCTAAGTAGTGGGTGCACTATCAAGCATACCTGAGCTCACAGTCATTGGGCTACACAGAGCACCGTGGGGCCAATGGCCTGCTGACAATTCTTGAGTTGTGTATCCCATGGCCTCTTCTTGTTGCAAGGAGGTTGTTGTTCTGCCCTTCAGGGCCTCCTGGTGTCTAGTGGGCAGTGTCTCAGTGCCCACATGCTCCAGGAACATCACAGGCACAGTTGTCGAGGTGCAAGAATGGGCATTGCTGGCCATGACACACCCAAGAAGAGCAGAAACCCCATCCCAGAAAGCTCAAGGGCTTTGGATCCAGTTTCGGCCTTTCCTGCTGTCTCTGGGTTCTCTGGGACCTTGCTCTCATCTGCCCTTGCAGAGCCCACTCCCACTCAGGCATTTTAGGATCGCGGGTCTGTGAGACAGGGCTCTGTCTGTGGAGCTCTAGCCAGCACAAAAAGGCTCTGTGGGGGCACAGCTGCCAGTATTGGGTCACCCTTGATCATTGGGATCCACAGTCCTCAGGCTGTTGTTTACCCTCAGTGTGAGGGATCCGGTCTGAGTTGGAGACACCCTGTCCTTGGGTGAAAGGGTTTTCCAGGTAAGGGTATTTTTAGCAATCAGGAGCCAAGCCACACTCAGAACAAACCTCACACAAGAGATTTACTGGAGAGAAGCACAGCATGGAAGCATTGCTTGGTTATTAGCCCTGAATCATTGGGGTGGACATATCCAAGTCCTGGGTTTGGGGACAGGCCAGAGACAAGGTGACTTTCCACTGATCTGTTGCCCTACACAGCCCTTCATTTTATCTCCACAAATAAGTAGTATCTGTCAGCTTACATGCTTCAGCATCCAGGTACAGAACTTGTCCAACATACTGTAGACAAGTCCTACAGACGTTCATTTACCTGCACTATTTTCTTTCCAGTCTATTCTTCATATACTTTTATGTGGTTATTTAAAACTAAAAATGCAGTTGAAACTGGGAGACAGGTCATGGACAGCAAGGTAAAGCAAACCCCTTGTGGCATGTAACACAAGATTCTGGTGGTCTGGGGTCCTCTTCCCGAAGCCCTCTCTTGCCACTCAGTCCTCACTTTCATGCTTCAGGCATACTGAATGAACCCTGCTTAGCTGTGATTTATCTACATAGACCAGCTCAGCTCTTACTCTCCATGGTGATCCGCAGTGTGACTATTAAGTTCAAGTTTTCTACTCACATAGGAATTTGAAGCACTGTACTGATTGAATTGATGCCAGCTCTATGAAGAATAAAAACGGCACGAAGTGAAAGTATTGGATTTCACTGTACTTGTGTGTGTGTGTGTGTGTGTGTGTGTGTGTGTGTGTGCGCGCGCGCGCGCGCGCACGCATGCATATATTAATGAAACACTAATCTCTCTCTCTCTCTCTCTCTCTATATATATATATATATATGATATATATATATATATATATATAAATAACATATATATATATATGTTAGTGTTTCATTAATAGTTTTAGTTAACCTACAAATATTGGGTCTCATTACATTTTTGTGTGCATCATACCTTGTTCTTTCTCATTCTCCCTCTCTACCTCCCACTGATTCCCTTCTCCTCCCAAACAGTCTGTATTTTCATGTCATGTACATGTATATGCACAGATATTTAAATCTAGATTCCACATTTGAGAGAAAATGTATGCTTTTCATCTTTCTTCCATCTCCATCGCCATCTCTTGTTCTCCCCTGCTGTCTCTTTAACCTCCTTCCTTTCACACAGTTCCCCTTCTATTTGAATGTCCTATATGTCACCTAACTGATGCCCTGCTGGGCTGGCCATTCTTTGTTTTAGGTATTCCTTAGTTGCCGAGATGTCTGTGTGGTTTTGCTGTCTTTCGTCTCTTTTCAAGATGGGAAAACAGGAAGAAGAAAAGTGTAGGAAATGAGTGTGCTGAGTGACACAAGGCAAAGCAGAGAGAAGGAGCATGCTGTGCGCGTAGGTGCCCTATTACCAAGGAGCATTCGTTCTGTGAGGACGCAAGGCTGACATTCAGTTTGGCTAACTAACATCGCAGGTAACCTATTGCCCAGCAGAAAGCAGATGCCTTGGACTTGCAAAGATTCTTTGTGAAAGTGGAGCAAAAGCTAATTCACAAATCTAAATTCACCATGAAAAAATGCTGCTACTCAACCTTATCCTTTCCATTTTCCCCTTTTGTAGTAATTACTGTGTGATGTCAGCATGTCACCGTAGTAACCCAAAATGAGATTTCACAGGTCAGTATGATTTCTTTCCACATCCATTTTTAAGGAAACGACACCAGTTTAATGCCCTAACTTTAATAGAAAGAACAAACTTAATTTATGGTAATGTAACAGGTGCTTCGTTTTGTGAATCTGCTAGCTTGGTTACACTAGAAAGCATAAATAGTACAGCACACACAGTTGATAAGGTGATCTAGTTTCCTTCCTGTTGCTATGATGAAACACTCTGATGCAAAGCAACTGGATGATGAAAGGGCTTATTTGGCTTTTGCTTCCACATCGGAGCCTTGTCACTGAAGGAAGTCGTTGTAGGAACTCAAGGCAGGATCCATGGAGGAAAACTTTGCTGGCTTGCTCACCTAGTATTTTTATATAGCCTGGATTCTGTAAGCACCAGTGCTTACTTCCCAAACCAGGGTCTCCTCACATGGTTGGTGGGAATGGAAACCAGGCTGGGTTGGAGGGGTCATAGCAAGACTAAGCCTGAAACAACTCTATTTCAGGCAATCAGACTTTTTTTATATACTCATCAAAACAGAATACGGTGGTTGCCATGATATAATGATGGTTGCAAGCTAGGTGGGATACACAAGATTAATGTGCAAGACAAGCTTCTATATGCTTTGCTGACTTCTAGGGAAGGGAGCCATACACAGTGGTCTGAATGCTTTGCTGCCTGAGGGAGTGACTTGGTTTCTCAGGAGCTGAAAGGCACACAGGACAGCTGTATCACTCCTTACAAGGCTCAGAGAACATCAGGAAAGGAAAGAAGAAGTGGAAAGATTGTTAGAGTCAAGGGCAGGGAGATATACAGCAAAATACATCTTCCAGGCATGACACAGTTGCAGCACTCACAGACTCTGCCACTGTGGTTACCTGCACAAGACTTGCACACTATTGGGTCCGTCAGTACTTTATCACAGATGGGACAGGCTATGAGGTCCAACCCCTCCCAGAGGGACTGTTGGCAGTTAACAGTTGCTATGGAAGGAATGCCATTTTCTTTAGTGGTGTGGCCAGTAGTAGGTTGCCCTGGCTGTACAAAATCACTTCTCCTGCCTTGGCAAGTAGCTCAGTAGGCCACACAGGAAAAGATGACATGGAAGTAGGGAAGACTTGTTGAGAAGAGGGGAGCTGGTAGGAGAGGGATGAAATGAAGGAGGCAGTGACAGGTAAAAGTAACTAAAACCCATGATGCAAATGCATGAAAACTGTCAATACATTTTAAAATGGAAAGTTTGACTGGCAGGTCTGGTCTGATGATTCAGGAACAAAATTGACTTTTGAAACAGACTTACTTTGCAGATAAATCATGGATTAGTTAACTACATCAGGAGATTAATAATTTGAGGGCAAAGTCTTAAACATCCTTTGCTGATTCTGATATCTAATGTCTTACGTGGGTAATTAAACTTCAACATGAGTTTCATGGTGACAAATGGGATATCTAGTGATGAGTGTCAGGTTTTTGTCCTAAGTGAATGAATTATACTAAATAAGGCAAACTGAAGCTAAAGATTCTTTCCCCTGGTGAAAAAAATCC